CTCAAACGCCGACGGGCTGACTCGGAGAGTATCTCGTCGATCGAGTCTAAGTACGTTGCTGTCTTCTATTCTTGCAGTTATTTGCCACTCTGCGTTGTGACGTGGTCGTTGGGGCACCTGGGTAGATCCACTCGGCAGTCTCCAAGGATCAACAACGATTGCTGTAGCCTTACGGGTGATCAGCCACCAAATACCATCGCACGGCGTACAAAGCTGACGCCTATCTCGACAGTCGCTCTGTTCGCACATTAGCTTCCGACGATCTAGAATATTATCATGAAAATGGACGAACGTACGGCAATGAAACGTACTACCTACCATGCGTATACAAGCAGCATAACGACTTTGTAGAGCAGGATCGTTTGTCTCTGCAGCATGAAATTTTCGTCCGAGCACTTCATGGCAAGCTTACCACTGCGAAGTTACTCCCTACTACCCGAAGAATACTCGACCTGGGCACTGGACCAGGTCACTGGGCTGTTGCCATGGCGCGTCAATACCCGCACGCAGAGGTTGTCGGAATTGACATGACGGAATGGGATATAGACACCACCGAAGCCACGTTGGGCGATGCCAGGGTGACATGGGAGCTGGACGACCTTGACGTCTGGGGAAAAGAGATGGATGTCGACCAGCTGATCAACCAGCTCGCTACTCTAGATCTAGCCAATGAGTTGGCTAATCGGACTCCCATCGACGCGCTGAGGAAGCCCAAGTCAACGGTCGATCTCAGTCAGCAAGGAAGGGAGCCTACGCCCGAGGAGCATTTGACTATTGATCTCTCAACACTTACCCCCCAGCCTGAACCTGGCTGGCACTTTAGCGACTCCTTTGAGCTCATACATTTACGAAACATGAAGGGCTCTTTTACGCACTGGGAAGACGTATATACCGAGATTTACAAGAGCCTCTCACCCGGTGGATGTATCGAACTCGCAGATTGGGATCTAGGCCAAGTGCCCATGGGCCCAGGGGAGATCACAGCAGCAAACATACCCATGCCTACCCTACGGAAACTCTACGTGGCGTTCATGGAAGCATCATTCAAATCTGGCCGTCCACTCGGCCTTTTCTACATGCACCACACCTATCTCGAAGAAGCAGGCTTCGAAGACGTCCAGACGACCCAAGTCAACGTGCCAGTCGGGCAATGGCCAAAGGACGAAGCGCAGCGATCGCTTGGCAAGATGATGTTTGTGCTTGGTATGGAGATGTTTGAGCCGGTTTGCTTGAGACTGTTGACGCACTGGGGGAGTAAGACGAGGGTTTGGACAGCGGAGGAGTTGAGAGCTGATATATTGGTCGCGCAAAAAGAGATTTATGATTATGTTGAGCGGTCGGAACGGGGCGAGGTGGAGGGGTGGTGTGCAAGCTTCAAGTGGGTTACCGCTAGGAAAAGCTGGCACGCGGAGAAGTGACCTCGGGAGTGATCGGCTGATGTGTTTGTTGATACTCGCATATTTGGGGAAGGTAGTAATGTGGATTGGATGTCGGTATTATGAGGCACGACTGCTTTGTAGAAAACGTCTCCGCTATAATGCACATCGACTGATACCGCGCTTGCCCGTACCTCACCGACACAATGGGCTTTCACTTTACAGAACTCGTCCTTGAGTTTTTGAGTTTGCATCGATGACCTGCCAAGGAAGATGGAAAGGGAAGTCACCACCCATCATTCCCGTCGAGCACGGCAAGCACGCTGGTCGTACAGAAATCATCATGTTCGGAAGGTGGAGCCGTAGCAATGACATATATTAAAGTAACGACGCTGTAAGTTCGCGTTTGCAAAGCTTTCTACTCTTAAACGTCCAAAGATGTCTACAAACCTCTCAGTCAACGAGCTCTTCAACGTCAACGGCATGGTAGCCGTCATCACAGGAGGCGGAACTGGTAGCCCACCCACATACCAGACCCAACAGCACTCCTCTAACAACGCCAGGCATCGGGTTGATGATGGCCAAAGCCCTAGTAGCCAACGGCGCCCACCGCATCTACATCGTAGGCCGCCGTCCAGAGGTCCTCCACGCGGCCGCCAAAAGCATCAGCCCAGAAACCGTCATCCCGCTACCCGGCGACGTCACGTCACGCGAATCTCTTCTCTCAATCGCAAAGCACGTCGAGACCGAAACAGGCTACATCAACCTCCTAATCTGCAACGCAGGCATCATGGGCCCTAAGCCGCTCAAAGCAGCACCAGGATGCGCCGCGCCGTCAGTCGCAGAGTACGCAGCACACGCGCTCGAGACGCCCATGGCCGACTTTACCAACACGTATGCGGTGAACAACACGGCGGTATATTATACGGCGCTGTCCTTCCTCACGCTCCTCGACGCGGGAAACAGCAGGAAAACCGCGCACGCTGATGTCCGTTCTCAAATTATAACAACATCGAGTATCGGCGGTTTCTCGCGTTTACCCGGCGCGTCGTTCGCTTACAATAGCAGTAAAGCGGCTGTTACGCATATGACCAAGATGCTGGCTACGGCGTTTGTGCCTTACGGTATCCGTTGTAATGTACTTGCGCCGGGCATTTTCCCGTCAGAGCTCGCGATGGGCATTATTGGGTCGTTGGAGAAGGGACCCAATGGGGAGGTGGATAGGAGTGTTGTACCGGAGGGCAGGACGGGCAAGGAGGAGGATATTGCGGGCGCGGTGTTGTGGATGGCGGGAAGGGCTGGGGGGTATTTGAATGGGAGTGTGGTTGTGGTTGATGGAGGGAGGTTGGGTATGTTGGCTTCTACGTATTGATGTTGTTAGCAGGAAAGTATTGAGATGGGATGGTTTGTGTCTTGCATAGTCATTGTGGAATTCGAGATGGATATAGTCTAGGGACGGTGCATGGTGTTTTACGTTAGGCGTGTACCCTGAGTGACGCAAGCCGCCCCCACTAGCGCGTTTCTCCCTGCATTTGCGGAGTTGAAGACACACCTCCGAAGACGCTTGCTACACCTCGACTACCATGCGCGCGTGCTGACCACGCGACCATGCCTGCTCCAACACACAGGCTCAATTCCAATGAGCTGTTGAACTCGCCTGGTTTCCTAGGCGCGGCGGCGCGCTTCTGGCAGGTGAGCGAATTCACAATGAGGCGTGGTTTACGCATGGATAGAGATAGCTAACACACATCTGCAGCGCTCGTATGCCTCGGATTATGTTGGCATTGCCATTTTAGTATGCGGGTACATACTGGTGCGTAATCACAATACTAGAATGACCCCTCTCGGTTTCAACAAGAAAGCAAGACTGACAGACTAGACACAGATACAATTCCTCGCCGAGCCCTTCCACCGCATGTTCTTCCTCGACAACCTCGCCATCAACTACCCCCACGCAGAACACGAACGCGTCCCCGTCTCCTGGCTCTTCATCTACGCCGGCGCCGTGCCCCTCGGCGTCCTCATCGCCTGGGCCCTTGTCCTGCGCCCTGGAACGCACAAAGCGCACGTTACAATCCTCGGCTGGTTCATCAGCATGATCCTCACCATGTTCATCACCGACGTGATTAAAAACGCTGTTGGCCGTCCTCGTCCCGATCTCATCGCTCGATGCAAACCCGCTCCTGGCACGCCCGCACACCAACTCGTCACCTTTGACGTCTGCACCGAAACGAATCATCACGTTTTACACGACGGGTGGCGCAGTTTCCCAAGCGGACATAGTAGTTTCTCCTTCAGCGGACTCGGCTACCTCGCCCTCTTCATCGCAGGCCAATGCCACGTCTACCGCCCACGCGCCGACCTCGCCCGCGTCCTCCTCGCCCTCGCACCCCTGCTTGGCGCAGCGCTTATTGCGATTTCGCGTTGTGAAGACTATAGACACGATGTTTATGATGTTAGTGTGGGGTCGGTGTTGGGTATGGCTGTGGCGCATTATACGTATAGGAGGTATTATCCTGCTCTGAGGAATCGGGGGTGTGCGGAGCCGTTTCCTAATCCGGCGGATGAGAAGGGCTGGGGGAAGGTTAAGGGGGATGAGGAGAGTTTGAGGAATGCGGAGGAGTTTGAACTGAGTGATCTGGAGGAGGGGGATGAGGAGGGGAGGATGTTGAATGGACGGCGGTGAAGACACTTGAATTCACGTTGCACTCATACAAGAAAGAAGCTGAACAGGTCTACAGACTACATTAAGACAAAAGCTTGCAAAGTAGGTGACTCAACGTTAACGTTAACGTAGACTCTAGGGTGTTCAGTTTTTGCCTAGGTTGGTGTGAATGAGAAGTTGTGTTGAGATCTAGAAGGTGGTGTTTCTATCATGTCATGCGCAAAATTCAGGGCTGCGAGTCTTTCAAGGCTTTTATGTACCATTTAAGGCCCCTGCGCGTGTGTCAAGCTCCGAAGTTCGTCCAAAAGCTTTGTCCGTTCAAGCTTATACCGTTGCTTCTGTACATCATCCGCAGCAGATATGCCTCTTCGCTCTATCTGGTCAAGCCGGCGATTCTCTGCTTGATCTAACTCACTGATTAAGGTACGCATCTTGTCGGCGCGAGCCTGCGATGCGGTATTACTAATATCTACCGGGGTTGCTGTAGCTTATCGGAATGAACATAGAGGTATCAAGGGGATTTCCTTCTTACCTGCGGCCGCGTAAGTATAAAGGTCTATATTCCATTTTCGACAGCTAATTCTACGTCAGCTACGCAGCGGTGCTTGTGGTGTTTGTAAGTGGGAATCTTGGCTCGAGCAGTTCTGAGGTGCCACGTAGGTAGCTGCGACGGCGGGTGCCTGACTCAGTTCCGCATCGTGCATCATGATATTGGGTCGCAACAGCGCCGGTGTTATCTACATATCCCATCAGTGCAGATGAAGATTTGTAGGAAGCGAATGTTTTGAGGGGATGCATTGAACAGGATTCCTCAGTTTGAGTATGAATTAGACGCGGTAGCAGTACAAGGACCTTCCCTACATCATGACGCATGCCATGGCCACCAGGACGTGCACTAGCGCGTCCTGAACGCGTAGGACCCCTCCCAGGTTTTCTACTGATCATCAAAACCACGAACATCAATTCTCTTCTGATCTACTCTGAACGCGTATAGCCCATTCTTTTTGCAATTCCATCTGCAATGCCGTCAGCATCTGGTCGCCTATATCCTGCGAGAACTCTTCGCGAAGCCTCGACACGATGTTGTATGCTGCGTTGTGTCGCGGACACATAGATTCGGAAAAGCTACCACCGTCATCGTATCTTTCGGTACAATGGAATAATATCGTTGGGTCGAGATGGTTGAAGGGCGAACTGTCTGCATACTTGAGCGATAGGCATTTCGTCAAGATCAGTCTCATACCCTCTACGGACTTTAGGTAGGTTTCGATGGCAGGCTCGAAGCAAAGCGGTCGTTGACGGGCAAATTCTAGTACTAGTCCCGCAATGCCGGCGGCGATAGGAGTGGCACAGGATGTTCCTACCATTCTCTTCCACCCCTCATGTGGATCCTCAGAAGGAAGGTGTGTAGGGTACGCAGACCTTACTGCTTCGCCCAGGGCAGTAAATCTGGCTTTGTGGCTGAGTTGTGGAGGGTTGAACTTGGACGGGTTACCATGAACATCTGCTGCATCGACCGCGATAACTTCCAAAGCTCGAGCTGGATACGACATGCCGGCTTTCGTTCGGATGCCTTCGTTCGAGCTCGCCGCGAAGAGTAGAACATTGCTAGCTCTAGCACGTCTAATCGCCGCTCGAAGTTCGTAATCACTGTCCTCGTTCCAGCCTAGACTCATACTGATGATGTCGACCTTCTTCTTCTCGACAGCGTCATTGATGGCCTCCGCTACGTACTTCCTGTCGATTGCTTCGGTGCCTTCGCAGACCCTGTATACATACACGTCTGCGTACGGGCAGACAGTGAGGATCACACCGACAGCATGGGTACCATGGCCTTTGCTGTCACAGTTCCAGGGCAGAGACGGATCTAGCTGCTTTCCTAATTTCACTCGTGGACTCTTCATCAGATGCGGAACTCGGCCCTGGGTGGCGCTCTTAGCCACGCCACTGTCGAGTACAGCGATCTTTACGCGTCGTTCTGTCTTCTTCGCCTTATAAGAGTCGCCCTTATACCTGTCCAGCAGTACATGGGCATGGTCACGTAGGTCTTCGAACCAACCATCGGCTATGACTTCACTATGCATCGTTAACGAGACGTTTGATGTTTAGGGTACCTGGGGACTCACTCTTGGGCGCTCCAGTTCTGGATTGGCGCACTACTCATTTCGGAAATACTTCTCCTCAATGTGTTTACGGATGAGGCGCGCCTGTGTCTTACGTCTTCTGTCTGCACTACCCGCAAGCCATTTTGGCCTGGTTGGTCGTTGGAACGGATCTTTCTCAATCCATGGAGAGGGCCTGGATCATCAAAGTCTTGATGCCACCCACCGGGCACGAAGCTGTCCCTTGCATCGGCCTTGGACGTCTCTTGGTGGATGATTGGAACAGATTCAGATCGTACATGAGGCTGAGATTGTGTGTCGAACCATATCTCAGCGTCACGAGTACTGCTTCCTTGCTCTGGCTCTTTTCTCGACACGAAGGACTCAGAGATCGTTCTGGGCGTGATTGGAACACGCGGCGAAGCTGTTGGAACCAGCAGGTCTACCATCTGTTTGGTCTGCTTCCCTAGCCACGACATTGAGGTGCGAACTATTTGATCTGTCGCAGGTTCGTTGTTTATCCTGCTAGATTGACCTGTGGTTTGCTCAGAGTGCACTCCCGGTGCTGGAGATCGATTACTGCATTCCGGCAGCTGCTCCTTAGCCGAATTCTCGCGCTGCGCGCTCGATTGTGGGTGTGCATCTTCTGCTGGTGACACTGCTCGAAGGGACCTTTCCTTTCCAAGTGTTGTACTTTGCCACTCAACAGCAGAACTAGCGTTGCCCAGCTCTTCATTATGTGCCTCAAGCCCCTTCAGAGCCTTTGCAAGCGCATCCAACTGTTGCAATATGTTCTCCTCACCCGCTGGGTTTGCCGGGGGGATACTTTTCCTGGACACACGGTGAATCTCGGGTGGTGTTTGCTTAGACGATGGCTCTTCTGTAGTCTCTCTTTTTCTGGGGTTCACACTCGAACGTGAAGAGTCTTCCCTCGAGGAACTCTGGTTGTGTACAATGATCTCTATCGCAGGGGAAAACTTCACCTGATGTGTCGGACTCGCTTTTGCGCCGCTCACCGGCGTTGAGACCGCCTCAATCTTCGCTGGCAGAGCAGTGGTAGACTTGGGAAGAGTCGAACTTTCGCTTTTGCGGGATATCGCGTTCGGCAATACCTCACTCTGGGCTTTGTGTGTTGGTAGAGGTGGATGTTGCGCCACCGGTATCTCGGCTGGATCCGTCTTGGGGCTCTTCTTTTCGACCTTCCGGTGCTCGTCTTTCTTTTGACGATCTTTCTGTGACTCTGGAGGCTGCTTCTCCTGTTGTTTGGCTGAACCTTTTACAGTCTCCTGTCTCGTTTCTCTGTCTGCACCCAAAGGGTCCTGGGTTTGCGCCACTGGTGTATCGACTGGGTCTATTCTGGGGCTCCTCCTTCCCGTCTTCTGGTGCTCATCTTTTTCTTTACGCTCCTTTTTCGGTTCTGGAGGCTGCTTCTCCAGTGGTTTGGCTTGCGCCTTGGGCCCAGAATTCTTTTCGGACTCCCGTCTCGTTGCTCTGTCTGTACCCGAAGGCTCCCGGGTTTCTTTCTTGTCTGGAGTCTTCTTGTCTTGCTGCTTATTCGTATCTTGCCCACGACTTTTCGGTCTTGTGTTTTCTCCTTCCGGACGCTTCATCGGTTCCTCCCCAATCTTTTTCCGGTCTGCATTCTTCTTCTGATCCTCATTACGGCGATCTTTCTTCTCCGCTTTCGATGCCTCCGGCTTCTCCAAGGTTTTTTCTTCTCTTGTCCTTGAGCTTTCCGCTGCTGGTTGCTTCGCTGTCTCCTTCCCTTTCCATCTCTTCTCTCTTGCTTCTTGCATTGGGGTTTGCTCGGCTTGATGTATGTCTTTGGCTTTTCTTTTGGCCACCGTTTCTCCATCTCGCGCTGCTTGCCTACCTGGCTCTTTCTGTTTCTTGTCTTCTTCCTTTGCTTTGCGCGCTCGTATGTCTTTCTCGTCTTGCTTTCGTTTCGTCTCCTCTTCCTCGCGCGCTCGTACCAAGTCAGCCTGCTCTTTTTGGTCCGCAACCTCTCTAAGACGCTTCTGTTCAGCTATTTGTTTCTTCTCTTCTTCTTTCGCTCTGCGCGCTCGTCTGTCCTTTTCCTTCTGCTTCCTTCTCGCCTCTTCTTCCTCGCGCGCTCGTATCAAGTCAGCCTGCTCTTTCTGGTCTGCAGACTCTTTCAAACGTTTCTGCTCATCTATTTGTGTCTTGAGCACTTCTCTCCGTCTTCTCTCTTCCGCTGCCGCGGCAGCTTGCTGTCTTACCTTGGCCCGTTCTTCTCGGTCTGCAGCTTCTTGTAAACGTTCTTGCTCAGCTATCTGTGACTTTAGGAGTTCTTCTCTTCGCTTTCTCTCTTTCTCTGCTGCCGCAGCAACCTCATGCAGACGCTTCTGCTCAGCCACTTGCGCCTTGAGCACCTCCTCTCTCCGTCTTTTCTCTTCCACTGCCGCGTCAGCCCGCCGACTTGCTTTCAAGTTTTGTCGGTCGATATTGATTTTACAGGTCCGAACCGCGTCCTCTGTGTCTTCTAGATACTGTTGGTATTCGGGCGATGATCTGGCTTGGCAGTTTTTCAAATGGAGGATCTCCATCACCTCGCTGAATTTCTCCAGGGCGTCGCCGTACTTCTTCAGAGCGCTCAACTCTCTGCCTAGGTTGTATCTTACATGTACGGATTCAATGTGGTCTTTTCCCAGACTCGCCTCCGCTCTTTGCAAGGTCGTCATGTTCAGATTTATTGCTTCCATAATGTCGCGGTCTGTACCAAGTTCGTACATGGCCGCTGCAAGATCCACCCGGTCCATACATCTTTGTTCCGCCGACTTCGATATGATGTTATCTTCGACAACTGCCCGGAACTTTGTGATCGCATTCTTGTAGTCTTTGCTCTCTAAGTACGCCCGCGCTAATTGTCTTTGAGCCTCCAGGTGGTTTTCCTTGGACGCCCGTGCCGGGGCGCTAATTTCGCGAGAAGAACCCCGGTCCCGTCTGTAGCGCTCGAGCGTACGTTGCTCGTTCTCCAGTCCACACACAATCGCCTTCTGGAAGTCTCCAGCCTTCATAAGGCTTGCGGCTAGGCGTTCACGTATCTCCAAAGTCTTTTGATCAAGATTCCCGTAGTGTTGTTCGGCCAAATCGGTCGCTCTCTCCCACGCTATGACGACACCTGGGAGAGAAGCCTTACCTATATTTTTGGCTATAGCCTCAAGGCTTTCAGCTTCAGAACGGAGTTCGTTGATTCGGGCATCGAGCGTCATCTCAGGAGGGGAGGACCTTCGCCACTCCTCAAATCCGTCCTCGCGCCGTACCGGTAAAGTGTTGGCAATCTGGCATACAAAAAATAGAGAAGAGGTCGGATCCCTCCTTCGGTCGTTCCGCGTCGTCGATGTGTAATCGATCTCGAAGTTCTGCGGGCCGCCTCCCGATGTCATCCGGGCTGCGGCGCAGTGGGGGCTGAAAGATAGCTCGCCTGCATACCCAACCTAGGCCAAGCGGATATGCAGAAGTTCAGCGTAACGCCGGGTGTACTGACCGTTTCGAACAACCCCCCGCCTCCATTTTCGGCGCAGCCGTGTTTCGATAGCAGCCAGCCTTCTCATTTCGGCGCATCTTTGCACCTTGAGCAGGCTGTGTAGTTTCGACCTTTGTCACGATGCGAACTAGACTTCCCACATGCCTGTCCTGAAGCTTGCGCCTCGAATACAGTCATGGTTGACAGCACCGCCACCGGATTGCTCAGATCAATCACCGTCGCACGTCGTTCGTATACCTGAAGCGTTCCCAGCCGCTGCTCGCCGCTGGACCCCCACTGCAGCGACCGTCGAAGAGACTGGTCCCGTAAGCCCTACTCTTGCGCGACCATCTAGCGAAGTTATTGGAGGAGCTTTTGTGGGAGCTTTTCTTGGTCTACTGATTCTAATATTCCTGACATGGTGCTGTTGCTGCGGCCGTGGTCGTGGTGGTAAGGGTAGTAATACAGGTAGTGATAAAAGCTCTTCTACAACAAGCCCACCGTCATCCCCAAGAGCCCCGCTACCAGTTCCACCACCTGCTGCTCAAACTAGACCACCATTCAGTACCCGTGGTCTAGGTCCAGCGGCAACGTTACCGGTCCGTCCAGCACCCGGCCTACCACCTAGCTCAGCACATCATCCAAACCATCCTCGGGTCCCTCTTCATTACCATCAGCCAGTGGCACCTCCAACGATCCCTCCAACAACTCACCAAGCTGCTCCGACACATCACCCAGCTGATCAGCAGCCTCATCATACTCTTTATGAACCATCCCGAGCCACAAGACAGACGCGTAGACCAGCAGCAGCTTTCAACACAACACATGGTGGGAACCATGCCTTGGTAGTGCCGAGAACTGGCGGGATACCACGACCTCCGAGACACGATCGAGTAGAGCTTGAGTCCTTGCCGAGTTCCCTCGATGATCATCAAGAAAGGGTAAGTGTCCCCCTCTCAAATTTTGAATGCGAATGCTAAGCCAACACAGCCTGTCCCGCCGCGCACGCAAGGTATGCCGAAGATTCTGTTCATGAAGATATGATCAGTGAGATATCAGTCTCGATACCTTGGTGCCCAACATGAGTTTACTGGGTGCACACTGCTCGATGCAGTGAGCCCATCAGGATTGGACTGTTGGCTGCATTACTCAGCCCCGCTCGTCATGCATCCACACGCAACCCTGCATTACCATGCATGCTTCGACTCATGTCTAGTACTTCTGCAACTAGCGCCTCACTATATATATGGCGCCGGCCGGATTACCATCGCACACTCAGTCTGCCACAGCGTCACCACATCCTCCAATCGTCACTACATCACAACAGCACTCCCTCTCTCTCACCATCGCACAAAACATGCCCACCCCCAAACCTACATACTTCCTCACCCCACCACGTCCAAGTCCCCCCGACGGTCCCATCCGCCTCGGCGCCATCATCCCCTCCCCCTCCCAACCCGACGAGCCCCTGCACCTGCCCTCTCTCCCACCACAAACCGACACAAGCACCTTCACCGAACACAACTGGAGCGGCACATACAGCAAATCCTCTTCATCTACCTTCGGCATCTGGACCTCCTTCCTCGAAGTCGTGCTAGGCGCGAGCCTAGACCTAAGCATCAGCCACGACAAGTCCACGCAGCAAACCTGGCAAGTCGAGAAAATGACAACACAAACTTTCCAACCCAGTCGCGCGTTTCTGGAAGACGTGGTGAGCCATGAAGACGTTAGGGATTACATAACGCAGCACCGGTTCAGAGAGAAAATCTACATCATAACGGGTGTTATGATAGCGTCGTCAACTACGCTTTCTAGGGAACGGCTCCAGGAAAAAGGCGTCTATGTCCATGCTGGAGTGGATGCGACAGCGTGGTCTGGCGTACCGATTTCGGTGGGACCGGAGGGGAATTGGAAGAGGAAGAGCGGGACGAGCGAGCAGAGTACGAGGGCGGAGGACTTTGTTTTTGCGTATAGGATAAGGGAGGTTAAAGTGAAGAGGAAGGGAGGGGTCAAGTCGGATAGGCTGTTTGATAAGGGTGCGTTGTTTGATACGCAGGTTAGGAGGAAGGTTGAGGACAAGGGTGAGGTGGTGGTGGATGGCTTGGGGGAGGAGCCGGATGTGGATGATGTGGAGTTGGAGAGTAGGGAGGTGAGGCAGAGGGTTGGGGATGACGGGGAAGAGGAGGATGTTGTTTGTGTTTTGCCGGAACCGCTGGACTGAATACGTGGGGGTGTATGATACGTAAGCGCAAATAGAGGAAAGTGGAAACTGCTGACAGCACCCACGGTAATACTGGTAACTGTCTAATATGGCCGAAGCCAAAAGGCGTCACTGCTACACGATCGTACATGAACCGCCACCTCCTTTCAGTCCTCTCCGAACGCGACTTCTGCTCCTTTCGTCATTGCAGAAGGTCGCTGGTATAAGCTCCCGAAATGCATGCAAGTCTCCCAAGCGGTGGTATCCTCAATGCCCCCAACCAGTGTTTTACGCCGTAGATAGATGGTCATGAAATGCAGCCTCCCCCAAACGCCTCGCGCTAAGTTTCCTTGACAAATTAGGAAAGAGATGAGTGTATGATGTAGAGAGCTTCACTTCATCAGCCTACGCAGAATGCCCGCCACGTGGCGCAACGGTCCGCAACGGTCCGCAATATTGTGAACGGCCTAAGTGGATGATGTGCTACCTCGTCTGGTCCCCGTTATTCTGCCCTGCGATCCCGAGGTGGTATTAGCGGATGAACAATACTCATACATGAGTGGAAGATACAACAAGAACGCGCAACATGTAATTAAGGGGAAGAAGAGCCCAGGTAGGTAGGGTAGGAGGAAGTACCCTGTCCAGGATAGCTAGGCCGCGAAGCAGGCTGTGCTGGTCGATAGGATTGATACCCATGGCGTGGTGGAGGTGTAGATGGAGGCCGGGAGTAATCAGAACGCATGCTGGCAGACCCACTATGGTAGGTTGGTGGCAGTGGACGACTATGGGCAGAGTGACTGCCGAGGGGAGGTAAATGATACCGACGGGGCGGATCAGGAAGGCTATTGGGGGTAGTGTACGCTACCTTTTTCGTTGGTCTTACTGGCTCATCATCATCGCTCAAGGTCAGATCCACTACTTCGGATTTTCTCTTCTGGCCAGACCGGGGGGCTGTGGATGTCTCGCGAGAAGGCAGTGGAGGGGTGCTGAGCGAAGTGGGTGTCGGCGCAGCTTCGGTCTTGATGGCCTGTATACGGTAATCTGGTATCTCGATGAGGTCATCATCACTATCGTCATGATGCCCATTGTGCCCGTTTTGTTTGGGCTTCTCATCCTTTTCGGTCGACCATTGTCCGCTTGGCTGGATGGTGACCTGGTCCGTGTTCTGGGCCTTGTTGAGGATTTCCTCAACGTACTGGTCGACGGCCAAGCCTTCGTATGATATGGTCTTGCTGCATATTGGGCATGTCCATGTGGGAGCTTGCTCCTGGAGCTGCAGAAATGAGTCGGCGTCAAAGCATTGATTGTGTGTGCACACAGTCGACCTGCATGGGGTGACAATGCGCAGGGTAGAGATTGGGTCCTTGAGCGACATGACGCTGGAGCCAACTTCGATGTCGGGGTCATTGGCCTTCTTCATCACTGTTACAATATTAGTCATGTGAGGGATATTAGCTGCCGAGGGCCACTACATACTCTCATTGAGCACAGACTGCCTCGTGATGACGTGGCGCTGCTTGATGCGCTGTGTGAGCTCGTCGACTGAGTACTTCCTGACCAAGTAGACGAAGAGGTTGTACTTCTGCATTGCGAGTTAGCTCAGAGTCACGTTTGGGGAGCTGATGGGATAAGAAACCTCCGACCGACTTGCCTTCTGAGTCAGGGCGTAGGTGATGAGGATGCTGTTGCGCTGGTTGGCGACCTTGGTGCGGACGAAGTCGGTGATGTCGGCGGGGCGCGTAGAGCCTGGCTTGTTCTTCAAACCCTTGTAGTTGGCCTTTACCTCGTCGTCGTTGACCTTGACCTCAATTTGAGATGGGAATGCGATATCGAGACGCGAGAAGGGCGCTAATGGCTGTTCGAGCGCAGAGAAGAGCAGCAGGCGCAAAGATGGGTCTGTCTTTAGGCGTCCGGACTGGCTTTCGTTGAGGGTGAGGTTACGCGATATGGTGGCACGGTGGGTCGGCGAAGCGTCCAGAGACATGTTACTTAGTATCAGCTCGCGAATCTCAAAGAAAGGGCTCTCCTTGAAGAAATAGGTCGGGCGTGGCGGCATGGGTGGCTGCTGGGGCTGCTGGGGCTGTTGGTATGGCTGGTATGCGCCGTTGCTTTGGTAGCCGTTGGCCATGCTGTACCCGTTCGCGATGGGCGGAGGGGGCTGCGAGTACGAGGAGGCGACGGGACTGCTCGTGGCTGGTGGAGGCGCTTCGCCGTGGTGTTGCACGCGGTATTGCAGTCGCCGCAGCAGGTCGGTGTCGCTCCTAGCAACGGCATTGGCGATGACTGGGGAGGGTGAAGTTAGCAGGTGAGCGGCGACAGCAAGCCGTGTTGCTGGGAGCGGAGATACCTACGGCCAATGACGCGCGCTTGCAGTGCGGCCTTGTTGCCCGTCTGCGAGGTGCCCTCCTCTTTGAGAATCTTTTTGAGGTCGTTGTTGATGAGTGTCTTGGAGCGCTCGGTGATGGTGGCAGCCATCTGCTGCATGCTCGTCGCCATGGTTTTGTGCCGTCGCGGTGGAGAGGCTGGCGGTGTTGGAGAGGGAGGTCAAGGGCTACCGGTTCAGTTTTGCTCGCGAAGGCATCTGGGGCGGGCTATCTCAGGCACTCTCTCTCGGGCGGGTGACGTAGGGCGAGGTGAAGGCAGCGAAGGGCGATATCCGGCTGTCTGAGGTGCAGTCGAGTCGGACGGGCGTTGGTCGCAACTTCCCAAAGCCCCCGGCGGCAATGCAGAGCGAGCAGGACAGGCGGGCGGGACAGTCGCGGAGCAGCAAACAGGCGAGCAGAGGCCGCAATGCGACTTTTCTAGTATTCGGCCGTCGAGGTAGGCGGCGGCTCTCGCGGCGAGCGCATCTCCAGCTGGGATATACCGAAGTCAGCGTCACCTGCAACTAGGCGAAGAACGCGACCAGGGCACGGGCCGGCCTGGCTTGATACGCCAAACGCCTTGCCACCAAAATTCCTCGAACTTTTCCCCACCAGCCGCCGCCGACGTGACCAAGACACACGCCCAAACACCCATTCACCCACACATTCCCCGTCACTCTCTCTACACAATGGCCAAAGGCGCACGCGCAAGCAGCAAAAAGGCGAACCGCACCAAGCTGCGCGCCCGAGTTTTCGGCCCCGTCGAGCAGGCACGCGCCGAGCGCCTGCACGCCAAACTTCTCGAGACGATTGCCCAGCCCAAGCCCGAGAGGACTGAGATGGAAACCGAAGAAAGTGAGTCGCCCAGCCGTCTCCCGCCATATGCACCTTCTAATCATGTCCCAGCCAACACCACCGACGATGCCGCCAAGGAGGACTTGCCCAAAGGTTCGTCTCTGCTTACTGTCCCCATGCCACGCTCCCTATCCGATCCCTCTGCAAGTCCACTCGACCCCGCAGAAGAGGACTGCGAACTCGGGAATCTGTGTTTCCACTTAGGCCTGTGTTCAGACATCCTGGGCTTCACCGATGACGGCCATCTCAAATTCGCCTTTGACCCGCTTCCTCCGCACTGGTAGAGTGAGAATCAAGGGCTAACTTTGACTTGCTAGATATGGACGTCGACGGCACCGCCACCTCTGCGAAGAGCTCGAGCTCGCGCAAGACCAAGGACAAGAGCCAGACCCGGAAACAACTGCGACGCAAGCCCCAGAACAAGGTCTCCTTCCCTACTTCACGAGGTAAGGGCGCACTGAAGCCCAATGGTGGACGTCCCAGCGGCCCCGGCCGTATCGGCAAACGACGAGCATGATTTCCATCCACGTATACTGGCGTTGTTTCATTGCATTTTCCGGCGTTTAAAATATTGCTCTACAAGTCAGAGCTATGGTTTGGAGGATACCATGTCCATGAGGACTTGCTTGAACAGTTTCGAGAATGTACATTTGTACATGCAGCAATCTGTTGACTGAGATTGCAGTCAGTCTAATTTAAACTGCAGTGATTCAGCTGTTAATATTCTTCCTTATTTGCGCTTGCCGTGCTGAACGTATTTGTACTTCGCACCTTCCTTACGTGATGCGCTAGGCCTGATATAGTGTATCTGCTTGGCGAAATATCCCACCTGTCGCGCCTGCCTCTCTGTTCTTCCGTCGCTGCAGTCAATAGAGAATCGGAGGAGGGCGAATGGACGACCTCGACCAAGCGACTGTGAACGATGTAGTGAAAGCTCCGAAAAGCATACCCTGGCTACACTCTTATGGCAGATAAAGCGGTGCTATTCATCTTCAATGAGCGAGATAGCAGGAGAGAAGGGTACGAACGTGACTTGGAACATCTCTATTGTGCTTTGCAACATAGCACGTCTGGATTTCCCTTGCTTCTATATATCTGCAGGCAGCCCAGGGTCGAAATCCACGTCTCCCAGCACGCCAAGCAGTCCCCCGAAAAGACCTTCGTTGATGCTCTGCAGTGTCCAGTCATCAAGCGCCTCCGCATCGTTCGACAAATCAAGGAACGACCACCGATTGTCCCACTCCGTGAGTGATGACTGTGTCTGGTCAGCTACCTGAATAGACAGCATCTCCTCAGCCAACGGGATATCGGAGGCTAGCCTGCGCTGTAGGCTGATGGTGCCAAAATACGGTAAGTGAAGCTGCAAGACCGCCTTCTCAGCGTCCATGAACTGGCCATCAAACTCCGTCGCCATCCCATCGTCTGTCTCACTAGCCGAAGTGTTGTAGCCAGTCCCATTTGCCGATGCCGCTTCGGCGTCGAGAAGATACTGTATGATACTCGATAGCTTCGTGGCGAGAGCATCGTCGCTCCTCTCCCCCAATACCTTGACCGTTCGCTCCATCAAAGCGCGATCGCTCGGACGGCTATGATCGAAAAGTGCTTTGTGCCGAATCATCGATTGGTTCTGCGAATCGATATGGGCCAAACACAGCACCATGAGGGCGACGAAAGCCAGACAGTCGACTCCTCTGCAATAATACGGACCGCGTTTCCACTTGCGAAACGCGATATATCGACTCATGATTTCGCGGGCAGCATGCACAGCTGTCGCTTTACTTTCTTCGCACCTATCGTCGCCCGACGAGCGAAGGACATACGGTAGATGCAGGCGTATAACGAGGTAGAAGTGCGACAGCTGATACATATTCCTTGTAACCTCATGCATTGGGTCCGAATCGCCCCCGTCCTTGTTGTCAAAGTCTCGAATAAGCCACCAGTCCGACGGCATCAGCTCTGTCACCTCCTTGAACAAGTCGTCAATTTCCCGGACCCTTTTCTCCGTAACATCGCGCGGCTCTCCTACTTTACGCGCCAATATACGATCGCCAATGACGCATTGCAGCCTCGCGATGCGGTCCAGCGGATGGCACTTTGCTATAACTTCAGCGCTCAGCCCGACTGTCTGCAGCGAAGACTGCGGCAGCCCCAGTGTCAACGAGAGGTAGCGATCCATCTCCACAATACGACAGCACAGCTGGTCTGGATCGAGGCCCTCGCGCGTCTTGGGATCCATCACCTTGATAGAAGCTCGCTTAGCATTACCACGATGCAGACCCAACATCTGCGCTACGGCAACGGCGCGGCGCACAGTCAGCCACGCGCGGTGCAGGTTCCCAGCGTAGTTCTGGGTGATGGCTTCGATCATGATGCATTCGACGCCCTCGACAGAGGCGGTTAGCTCGTCATTGGATGTCACCAGCCGTGTTGCTGTGTCCATGGCATGTGCCATGACTTTACTGAGATGCTCACGCTGGCTTCTGGGTATACAGTCATCGGATAGTGCGCCCTGCACTATGTTGCTGAGTAGAAGGAGTTTCCGCGCTATCAGTACTGGATGCGATCCTGGTGGTGGTAGCTGCAATATCGTTCGTGGGCTATCTGGAACCTGGTTCATCAGATTGGCAGAGGATGTCGTTAATTTCATGTGCATGTGCGTGGAGATGCTGACAGGTAGCTTGCAGATGTAGTCGATATCTTGGGCTGTGGGCCATGCTGCGACGAGGTCTCGCGATATACCAGTGTATATATCGCCAAGTGCTTGTTCTGGTTGTTGCGATAGATCTGTAATCGATGATGTGGTTTCTGTGGAGGTGGATGATGTGATGTTGATGTTTCTTGTGTGATCCTTGTGAGTGTCAGAGATGGATGTAGCATAGAACACAGCACGCTACACATACTATTGTGCTCCTCAGTCTCTCCAGGACTGCAGTTCCCGGATACTCGTCAGCAATGTCGTGGCGCCTGTCTGTCGACGATCCAATAAGTCGCTCAAGCAACGTCTCCACCCGACCCAAACGCGTCTCTAATCCAGCATCTCCTCTCTTGTTCTCATTCGGTTCATCCGCAAACTCCTGACTAACACAGTCTGTCTTGCGTCGCACGCAGTTACTACATTTGGACTTGGTAGGTGATGCCCAGATACATCGGACTTTCCGTTTCTTACACCCCCAGCAACTTTGAGTACCTTTACGTACTTTACGCCGCTTCGCCGCTCTTTCATCTTCATGGGAGTTGGTTTGAGGTGACGGGGAGGGGGACGGGTGCATATTCGATTGTGTGTTGATGGAGGTTGGGGAGGGAAGTGACAAGAGTGGCTGGTGCAGTAGGGCAGTGGTGTTCGGCCGAAACCTCGGACGAAAGCTCCGGACGGGTTACACAGTAAAGAGAGTACATTGTTCGCTATTAGAAACTTACTACTGCTGCAGTTAGTCTACGCCATCGCATTACCCCGAAGACCGGCTGCGCAACATGGTTCATTCGACTGTCTTATCACGGCTTCCCCTCCCATGCCTTGCGCAAAAACGTCCTCACATCCGTGAACTCATAATCGGGCAACAATCGGTTCCATTCATCTCCCACATCGAAGGCACCTGCCCCAAAAGCCTTAGTGAAGCCAATCAGTACCATTTTTGCCATCTCCCCAGCCATCGCCGGTGGGACGGCATTATGTTCAAATTCCGGTAACCAGGAGGCAGTCCAGTTCCCGTTTTTCAAGTCCTCGTTGGAGAGTCTTTCGATGGCAAAGGGTCCACCTGTGATATCTTATTAGTAAACAAGCAGACAGCGGCACGGCTCATCTGAGCTGGAAGAAGGCGAAGGACTGACCTCTTATTTCTTCGCCAAGAGCAATGAGCTCCTTGATGGAGATGCGCGAGCCTCGAATGCCGCCCACGACCGGCCATTCGCCCTCGTAATCGATTGCCCGCGCGACAACGCCGGCGAGATCTTGTACCGTAGTCAAGACGATGGTATCGTCATCCCCGCCTTCTCGCATGATGGCCCTACGATTCTCGAAATCGTAAATCATCCGGAGCGGCGTGAGATGTTTGGCTGACTTGTATGGAACGGTTAAGTAGTTGGAAAAGAGACCAGGCTGGAAAAGAGTGTACTCGATGACTTTTCTGTCTTTGTTGATCTCGGCTAGGTATTCGCGTATCGTGTCCTTGAACGAATACCACGGCGTGTGCTCTAAGGTAGATCTGGATCATGGTTAGCAAGCGCAGAAGAGTGGGCGATTGCAATGACTTACGAGACCCATTCGCTGGGTACGAAACGCTTTACACCAGCCCTGATTGAGGCATCGATGAGATTCTTCTGGAAGGTAACCCCTTGTTGCAGGTCCAGTGGCGCGATGAAAGATAGTACTACGTCTACGCCTTGTAGATGACTAGTCAGTTCAGCCACGTCTTCGTAGTTGGCTTTCACTAGTTTGACGGGCGAGTCGGTTGTCTCGGCGGGGACATCCTGGAAGATGTGTCAGAATCAAGTAAGGTGAGAGACACGTGGTAATGACCTTGCGTGTGAAAACCACAATCTCGTGCTTCTTCGTGGCGAGAAGAGCATCGATGCACTCTTGCCCTACGTCTGAAAAGATGTTAATTCATCCCGTCGGTATGATCCGCGGGAAACTTACTTCCAGCACCGCCTGCGATTGCGATTTTGACCATATTGGACAATGGGGACGTGTTCGGTGGAATGGATAGAGACACGGGATTGGTGTTAATTTGATTGAAAGGATTCGTGTTGCTAAGTGCTTGTGATGACATTTGTACCGCCATGTTGTTTCTCTTATACGAGAGGGAGGGCCGAGTTTTCGGCCGAATGGTGTAGTGACTCGCTGGTGCGTAGTTGGTCCCCCGAAAACTCGGTGTAATGATTGCAAGACGAACTAGCGAGTGTATGCTACTCGTCAGTAATCAATATACTCCTAACGGGGGATAGTCGCTTCGTTTTCAGGTTCGATGTTGATCAACATCCTTCGTATCCTAGCAAACTCCCGCAACTGGAGAGTGGAATGCCTCTCTTGGACTCGGGGTTACAGCACAGTTGCTCCGATCGAACGTTCATGGTCTCACAATTCACTCCGAGGTCCGCTCGAGAAGCTGCGCAACAATGGCGCTGCCAGAACCCGCTGTGAGTGCTTTGCACAGCAGCAATATCACGAACACGCTAATGTTCCAACATTGAGCCGTATGCAACGCTTGGGAAGAAAGCCATGGTGTACTGAGCATGTTGAGGCCCCTTGCTATCTTCAACAAGCACTTTCAAGCACCTGCACGACTGATGGCTGGCTTTCAGTCGCGCAATTTCGTTCACACACCAATCGACGTGCTATTTCCTTGAGTGTATATTGCGTCGAACAGCTAGTGGGACGGGGGATTGATTGAGCGTGGTACGGATATATGTCCAACGGTGGATGTAATCACTTGGTGCCGGAAGTTATGTCCCAGATCCAGAATTGGAGCGAAGTATAGCGTGGGTCGTAAGACTGTGAGTAGTACTTTGCCTACTTGCTCCTCAAACCGATGGTTTCGTAATCCACTTACATTGTCAAAAATAAAAAATCTGTTCTCAGAAAACCAACACCGCTAACGTCGTGCAGACACTCCGCGACGGCGACGAGCGCAAAAAGATGGACTTGCAGGGAATCGAACCCTGGACCACTCCCATGCTAAGGGAGTATTATACCACTAAACCACAAGCCCGGTTGTTGAGGTGCTGCTCAAGTTTGAAGCGAATTGTTGATTCGCTGGTTGATGGAGGTTTGCCAGACAAATATGTTTATATTGCGCAACGTGAGAGATGACGTGTAACGACGGCGGCGCGAACGGACTTGCTGGTCCATGTGGGACGGATAGGGGCTCCTCCCCCATGCTACGGCATATCCCGATAGCGAGAAGGTCGACGATGCGTTTGCCGCTGTCCAAGAAGACAACAGATACGATACTACAATCTTTGAATTGCCATGGTCCAAAGTGTTGCTCGTTGGGTACATCGCCATGGCCAATGATATCCGGGTACGAAGTCCTTCGTGCGGTTGAGCTGATGCCGGTTCGCCGAACTTTCCGGCGAGTGGAACCCACTGCGCTTGGCTATTTCCAGCTGGCAACGATGTATCGCAACGCTTGCATGTCGCAATGCTTCGATAACGTCTCCGTGTTTGTAAATAACGGCGGTCGTTCTTGCTGAGAGATCGCGCTGTATCCAGCAGGTGCGCATAGCTGTTTGCGACAAAGGTCGACTTTCCTTCGATATCGTATACAACTGGCGTATCCTGGAGAGGCTGATTGCGCGATACAACGCGCCTTGTAGTAGTCGCGTGCGACGAGCGATCGCGATCCCGATGGAGAGTAGTTGCGTGGGGGATGCAGGTGGTTGGTGGAAGGCGGGGAGCTAGGTGGATTGGCGTCGGTAGCTGGCTAGCACCTGCCAAGCTCCAACCTTTGTAACTCATTTTCACCACTCACACTTCACCGCCGATGTATAGACAGCGTGTTTTATGTCAAAAGTCAGATGTAGTCATTTATGGGTGCTGTCTGTATGTTCAGACGTCAAATCAACTCTGGTAGCCCATCTTGTTTTCTCTATCTATCGCGTTGTCCAATTTCACATTTATTCCACACCCATTGTTTCATCCTCGCTTCAATCCAACTCGTCATCTGAATCTTCGCTGGACTCGTCGCTCGACAGCTCCTCTTCTTCAAAAACTCCGTCAAAGGTCTTAAGGCTCCATCTTGACTCCATCTCTTCCGGTTCCAGTTCTTCGCTAACCTCGAAACGCGCATCCTTGAAATCCTGAACGATGTCTTCCACATCTGCGTCAACCTCTTCTGAGCATTCAATTGTCACCGCGAACTTGGGACGATACATGCCAGGGTCGGACGCGTCCCAGCGGGGGTTGATGATGTCGTCGATGGCAGAGGGGAGCAGTTCCACAAATTTCTCGCAAGCGGCGTCGTTCCCAATCCAGACACCGACCTCGATTCGCTCGTTCGTCTTGAGGTATAGATTCGCGAGGCGGGTCCACATCTGATACATAACCGCGTCCATCCGAACTTGCTCGACTAGGTTTCTGCGGGTGAATATGGTATCGAAATTCTCACGCTCGTCATCGGCCAGTCCCATGTTCGGTGGGACATAGCCTTGTCGGGCATTTCGAATATCGGCAAGGACTTCAGGGACGAAGTGGAAGTAATCGCAGTCTGCGATCAGCTGAGCCGGGCCACACTTCTGGGTTTCCTCGTCGATGACCTTTTCAGCTTCGTTTCGGATTGCCTTTGACACAGCGACTATAGCGCGTTCGATATAAGAGAATCTGACGACAACCACCAGCGTTCTGATATCGTCTCGTCGCGCTATTGCGTACTTCGTATTACAGTGGAGGTTTTTGTAGACTTCAGCACGCAGCTCAGCTGGTAGTCTTTCGAACGGAAAAGGAGTGTTCGCCATGTCCTGGATACCGTCAGCAATCTTTCCAATGGCGTATGTGTACTGAAAACGAAGTGAGGCAGGATTCGGTGTCTAGTCGGAGGGCGTGGGTCGCGCACTTAGATCATCGAAGCCTCCGCGGTCCTTGATGAGCTCGTGCAAAGGAGAACCAAAACCACTGAATACTTACGCGCTAGGTAGAATTGATAGAACTTTGGGTAAGCCTGATAAGTGTAATTGCAGTCGAACAATCTGTGTGTTAGACATTCAGCTTAGTCCCGGTTGGTAGGCTTGTTTATATACAAGAGCGGGGTATCGCCAGAAGAGTATACCGACGCATTGACTCCGCCATTTGGTTGGCAGTCAAGGTATAGTTGTCTTATTCATTACTGCAGCCCTTGGTGTTCATATATCTGTCGTGGGTTTGCTCTCCGGCGCATCGGCCGGGTCACGAGAGCGCGAGACGCCACATGATCTTGTCATCGCAAACTTTCGAGATACCGCGCGCTACACTTCTGTTCGAAAGCAGACACTGATAACCCTTTACAGTATCAGACTGGCCAGTAAGCTCCCGAAATCAGTCTCCTGTACAATGAAGGAGCAGCGCAACACAGGACAGCCATGAAAAGTGGATTTAGCGTTTCGACTCATATGCCCAGATCCGGAATAAACATCCAAAAATACTGTGAAATCTAGTGACAGTTCGTATACTACCTCGTTTCTTCATCTTGTTTGTTCGAGTCATTTGTTATTCATGTCAACGTTCTTCCAAGCGGACGACAAACATTCGTCTCGCACTCTTGATGGTGATGGCGAATTGAGCGCTAGTAATTACTGAAGACGTTACAGAAAGGAGAGCAGCCTAGTCCAGGAGCACCACCAGACTCTTTATCGCTTGCGTTGTTCTTCGATCTAGATCAAAATCACCACTATCGGTAGGAGATTGTCAATGAACGAAATAAGAATTAATGCTGATCTTCAGCCCACTCGGTAGTAACAGCCTGGGAGTGTGGCAAGAAAGCTAAATAAAGCCAACCGACACCCGAGATGGATAACTTATGATGAAACTCCTGGACAAAAGGAACGATAACGCTGGCTCGATCACCCAAGTATTTCTGAAGGACGCTCGCAACCGTCGCAGTCCGACGGCGTAAAGTGTCGTCGAATGATGCCCGACGTTTACAGATTACATTAGTTCGCTCCCTGATCGACTTCGCCGTCCCCGTACCAGGTATCTGGATTACCCCAGAACACGTGGAGGGAGACCTCAAAACTCGGCTCGGTCTCGATCGGCAAAGCCCTAACCAAAAGCAAAGTGACGTCACACAGCGCAGGAACGTCCAACCTGCCTGATTAGCCTTGCTTTCCCCATGAAATCCACCCAAGCGCCCATCTGCAGGGGCCATCCGTGTCACTGTAAATAACTACCCTTGATCCGGCTAACGCGACGCTACGGAAGGGTTGTGTTGACACACCTGCAAATCTGCCGAGGCCAACGCTCGACTTCTTTACGCCCCACAACGCGAACACGAGACCGCTGATGAACGCTAGGGGCCGACGACCATGACGATCCGGATACCTTTCCACGGAGAGGTCCTGTAGGCGCGTGACTCTAGACTATCTTGTTGACCGCAACAGAGGTCTGACTGGTGAAGATGACTGCTAGGCAAGTTACTCGAAACTAAAATCGTCAACCAAAGCGCGTTTGAGACTTGAGCTGATTCGAGGTAGTTGGAAGCATTCTTCCCCAGCTATGCTGTGGAAACTAACAATATGTGGCTGAAGTCAAGAACGAACGTTTCCGGACGATGCTGCAGGAAGCTTGCATATCCGGCTGACGGACGGCTTGCAGCAGCCGTTGAGCTGCGAATAAGGCAACCTTCCCACAGACATGGCTTGCTGAACTATGTGTTCTCCACCGCAAATACGAGAACTTCTCAGGATCCTAACGCCACAACGGCCCGCCGCGGAAGGACAGTGCCGGCGACCGAATACGATGGCTCATGGTAAGCATATGGGGTCGATGGTCAGCAAGGCAGACGTAACCCAGTTGTGAGGCTGAGAAGAGACGATAAGTTTGGCACGTCGTCACATCGCGTTAACAAAATGGTCACGCCTCCAGTATGCATCTGTCCCCAGACTTTCTACCTGAATGGAGAGTAGTCAGAGGAGTCTGAACTAGCGGGGTGTGTTGACAGTTCGAGTAAGGATCCGCGCGCCGGGCCGCTTCGCAGGTCAGGGTGAAGGGCCAACTGCTCGAAAGCCTTCGGTTCTTGGACTTGTTTATTTCCGCCTCTTCTTCTGAGACCGCCTCGGTTCGGCTAGGCCCTTGTAATTTCCACTCCTTCTGCTATCAGCGAATGAGAGTTATATCTCAGTCTCTGGCTTTCGCACTTGGGACTAGCCGAAAACATTTATTACACCTCCTTCTTCATATGGCCTAAAGTAGGTCGCTGACTGTCCAAATACTAAAATATATTCTAGCCCCTCATACTCTCCCCGAATCTTACGAAGCTGCCATGGTGTCAGGCGACGAGGCAAACCCCCAGCCAGCGAGCCGTTTCGATCCACCTTGCAGAGAACCCGTGGCCGCCTGATCATACTAACAGTGTGCTATGCATCAACTTCACTACTACCATGACTAGTCTATACAAACGCGGACGGACGATGTGACTTCATTACATGTTCTCGTACGACATCGTGAACGCTACCCCTGGTGTACTAGAGTGGCTTACAGGTTATTCGAAAGATCTTCGGACAGAAGACTACATTTGGGGGCTAGCGACTCCATCAACTTGAACGCGGGACCGGTGAAGTATCTCGGATTGGGTGACTGGGCTGCGCCTTTGTCGTCAGCTAGGGGCCCCTTTGGCAATTTGCCTCTTGGAGACTCACGATGTAGTGAACTACGTGCCGTCTAGTACGATCAGCTGAAGGCCCGTGAATAAGTTAAATAGTCCTCTGGTCGCACAGTGTAACAGTCAAGCAACTGGACATTCATTCCAGCAGCTCCATTCCAGGCACCCTTTTTCGTTTCAGGCCGGGAAAAGCAACTTCGTTACTGCAACCAATCATTGCATCCTCCTCACAATGAAGAGTTCGTCTATTTTGGCTTGCTTGTTCGCGGCCGGCGCACAGGCATGGATGCCCGCGGACCGCGATCTTGCTGCCTTCAACCGCACCACCAGCGACCTGAGCAAACGTGCCCCTAATCTTCCTAGTCCGAAGATTCGAGGAGTCAATCTCGGTGGATGGCTACTCTCGGAGCCATGGTTGATGAATCAAGAGTGGTCAGAGATGGGCTGCGGTGACTCCTGCTCCGAGTTTGACTGTGTCAGCAAGCTTGGACAGTCTCAAGCGAATGATGCATTCGACGCTCATTACGCTCGCTGGATCACACCAAGCATGATTCAATCCATGCACGATGCTGGTTTGAACACCATTCGCATTCCGATTGGATATTGGAGTCTTCACAGCCTAGTGGATAGCAGCGAGCACTTCCCCGAGATGAATCTGAAGTATCTTGACGATATTATCGACAAGGCTGCAGGACTGGGCATGTTCGTCGTTATTGACCTCCACGGCGCTCCCGGGTCGCAAAAGGTCGGCGATGCATTTACTGGACAGGTAAGCCTTCAACACTCCAATATTCCTCGACTCGACCCTAACGTCCACCACAGTGTCTCCCTGAAGCGTATCTTCCAGGATTCTTTTCACAAGCTAACTATGACCGCGCAGCCAAGTGGCTTGACTGGATGACGAAGCGTATTCACAACACTCCTTCATACAAGGCCGCAGTCGGTATCATTGAAGTCGTGAACGAGCCGCAGACATCGCGTGATAAGGGCGGTATGCCCCAAGCCGAGAAAGACACTCTTACTCAAAAGTACTACCCACAAGCCCTCAAGGCTGTCCGAGACGCCGAGAACTCTCTTAAGATTCCCGAAGACCAGCGTCTTCACGTCCAATTCATGGACTCTCTATGGGGCGCCGGCAACCCCAAATCCAACCTCCCATCAGACTCCAAGGTCATCTTTGACGATCACAACTACGTCGGCGGAGCTGTAACGGCGATCAACGCCGACGCCAAGCAGGGCGATTACATGTACTACACATGCCACACTGACAACCGCCTGACCGACGGCGACACCCCCAAGATCGTCCAAGAATGGAGTCTCACCGTCAACAACGAGTACAGCACCGAGTTTGACTGGAAGCTCGATTCCACAACACAATTCTACAAGGATTGGTTTATTGCCCAGCAGCGACTGTATGAGAAGACTGAGGGCTGGATCTTCTGGACGTGGAGGACACAGCTCAACGATCCACGATGGGACTACAGCTACCTGATCTACAAGAACTGGGTACCCACCTCCAAAGCAGGACTGGATGCTAGCGCCAACAAGGACGTCTGCGCGACGTGGAACCATAGGAGAAGGAGGACACGGGGCAGGCAGTAGGAGTGTCGTGGTGTCTACTCATACTCGCGGCGCCGCGCATGAAGGGGTTTAGTAAATATTCTGTTGTCTTCTAGTGCTTGTTAGCCACACAGGCTACCGTTAGCAGGAATCCTTTCCGTGTAACGAAATCTTACATTTGTATCATACTTTACACAACAGTCCCGTCCTGTCTCCTATCATGATGCATTGCGCTTCTCGGCTGCATTTGCTAAAAGTGTCCACGCGAGCACAACTGCAGTGATCTTTCCCCTATCCTAACATATCGCCACAGCATCCAAGGTAGAGACTCTGTGCCAAGGTGATCGCGTCCCTTGAAACCCAATGAACGAGCGGTAAGAGTCCATCGTGTGATCCATCATCGTGCGACGACCGGTCACGATCGACACACGATTTTATATCAGAGATCGAGTTCCTTCTTGTAGATCAGTGTGGTCAGGCGATTGAGGAGGTCGACGAGCCATTTTGATCGGGTTGCGTTAGCCGCGGCGGTCGAGTGCCGATGTTGACCGTTTTCAGAGGTCAGATGGTTATGTCAGCGAGTGTAACGGGAGAGGAACTACA